ATAAACTGCACTTGGGTTCTCACTTACGCTCGCCTTCAGTGGATTGACTCTTTACAGAATACACGACTGCAAAAATGAACCCAGCAGATCGCCTAGTTCGCCTCCGTCAAGGTAATCGCTCAGTTGAGGAGTATGTGGCAGATTTTTGTGAACTGTGCTACCAGGTGGCTTTTAACAATACCTTTCTGAAAGACATTTTCCGTTTTGGACTATCTCATGACATATCTCATTTAATGCCACGCAATACCCCTCAATGGACTCTTGAAAAATGGTGGTGGCGTCCGCTTCCGAATTCACTGCCTGCCCTGTCACGGCCACGGAGGCCGTTCACGAACTCACTGCCGCCCTGTTACAGCCATGGAGGCAGTTCATGAACTCACCGCCTGTCCTTTTACGGCCATGGAGGCCGTTCATGAACTCACTGTCTGTCCTGCCATGGCCAAGGAGGCCGTTCATGAACTCACTGTCTGTCCTTTCACGGCCAAGGAGGTCATTCAAGAACTCTCTGCTTGTTCGGTCACAGGCAAGTGGCCAGTCCATGTCTCTGCACCGCCACGGCTTCCTGCTCTGCCGTCATCACCCGGCCGCCCTGTCCTGCCTGCACCGCCATGGCTGCCTACTCCACCATGGCTCCCTGGTCGGCCTGCTCCGCCGTGGCCCCCCCGATCTGCCTCATCCTCCGTGGCCCCCCGATCTGCCTGCTCCACCATGGCTCCCCGATCGGCCTGCTCCGCCATGGCTCCCCGGTCGGCCTGCTCCGCCATGGCTCCCCTTTTTGCCTGCTCCGCCATGGCTCCCCTCTCTGCCTGTTCCTCTTCACGGGCCTTTACAAAACTCTACCTGTTTACAAATAAATGGATTGCAGTATACCATGCATAACAGGTTTATGAAATACTCATACGTGACATAATCTGATTCGGGATCTGTCTTAAATAATTACAGAGGATCAGTGGTGAACGGGCAGATGGTTTATGAAGGGGAAAAAAACATTTTTAATTAATAAAGCAAATGCTTATGAATCAGAGGTTGTTAGAAAATTAAACTCAACCCGGCCTTCAATAGAACACAACAGTTCATTTTTAAACCTTTAAAGACTCATGTGCTCTTAAACAGATAGTTCATGCAAAAACGTCTCGGGTTACGTATGTAACCCTAGTTCCTCGAGGGAACGAGACGCTGCAAGTGATGTCAACATCCAGCTCAGTTTAAATAGTATCTTTGCAATCATTTGCAATCAAGTCAACGATATCACTGGAAATTAAGTGTCCCCAACTAAGCAAGCCAGAGGCGACAGCGGCGAGGAACCAAAACTCCATCGGTGACAGAATGGAGAAAAAACCTTGGGAGAAACCAGGCTCAGTCGGGGGGCCAGTTCTCCTCTGACCAGACGAACCAGCAGTACGGAAAAATCAATTTAAGACGTAATAAAACAGACGATGAATAATATTAACAGCAATTATTATATGATGCAATCAAACTTATAGCAAAATGTGGTAGTTGTGTAAGTTGTTTCAGGGTTGGCATCATCTGAGGTCCTCTGAGGGGTTGCATCATCTCTTCTCAGGTGTTCTGCATCCCGACTGAAGCTTGTGTAAATCCTAGTTACAATCCCGTGGCAAAAAACTGAGAAAAAAATAGAAACATAATTAGCGTAGCTGCTGTTCCAACCAAGCAAAATTGATTTGTTAACCAGGCTCAGTCGGGAGGCCAGTTCTCCTCTGACCAGAAGAACCAGCAGTACGGAAAAAATCAATTTAAGACTTAATAAAACAGATGATGAACACTATTAACAGCAATTATTATATGATGCAATCAAACTTATAGCAAAATGTGGTAGTTGTGTAAGTTGTTTCAGGGTTGGCATCATCTGAGGTCCTCTGAGGGGTTGGCATCATCTCTTCTCAGGTGTTCTGCATCCAGACTGAAGCTTGTGTAAATCCTAGTTACAATCCCGTGGCAAAAAACAGAGAAAAAAATTGAAACATAATTAGCGTAGCTGCTGTTCCAACCAAGCAAAATTGATTTGTTTAACCCAAACTAAAGAATAATAATGTGACTTTGATCATATATGACTGCAGTAAAAGATTAGGAGATGCATTATTTGAATGCTTGGCTAAAGAGATGTGTCTTTCATTGGTGATCCCTTTAGGAACCAGATCAGTGATGCCATGAAGCAGGTTTCTAGTGAGTATGGCTCCTGATGTCAGCGCAGTGTGGCCTCGCTCTCTAAAACTGCTCTGTTTACACAAGGGTACAAGTGCACAGCAAAAACATTCAGACACACTCTCTCTTGTGTCAGTGTTTGAAGGTGCTGAGCTGAGTATAGAATGGCCTCAGGAAATCGTTTGATAAAGACCCGCTTTACACCAGAGGGCATTTAGAGACATATAGAGGCTCTCTTACAAAACACAGTGAACTGCCTACATAGGCAACATTTCAGTCGTGTTCCCAATAGACGGCTGATCCAAAAGACGGGAAGCGGGATTATGCCGTCTTCATGGGCTGGCAACACATTGAATATTAGCAGTATTGTTGTGATTTATGTGTGATGATATAAAATTCTGGAATGTTGCGTGCATTTTGATGTTGTTTTTCTCATAAAGACTGAGCCAATTTGACTCCCCGTTTATATTTCATGACAGCTGGTAGGTGTTGCTTTCAAACGTCTCCATGTGCATTTATGTAAGTGTATCAAACGTTTCTATGTACGACATGTTAACCAGTGTCAAACATTGTTAATTTCTTTTTTTGGGTGAAGGTTAAATACTAGTTAAAGAAGAGTTTCACTGCGCAGTATCCACCTTATTTTTCAACACGGAAGTAAGCGGTTTTCTGTGAATGAGTGAGAAATAATGAGAAGAATAGCAAAGTGCAATAAACGGTAAAACTGTTTATGCTACAAATTATATAATTAAGACAATACATTAAAATAATATGGTAAGAAGTACCAGTTTGCAAAATCAAGCAGCAAAGCGAGGTGTTTTGTAAAGCTAAAAATAACTGGAAGTGAATGACACCGGAAGCCAGACACATTAAACCTACAAATGGCACGCTCTTATGGGAAAAATAAAGTGGATAGACAACTTCATTGATAACAGGTGTTTTTGCAGAGCTCAGTAAACTCACACTGAAGGGACTGATCATAATGCACTCTTTCGTCATCTGGAGTTCTCTTTGCTTACTTTGTTTATAACCCATTTATAATGTCGATAAATTATTTTTTTTCGTGCTATTCAGAAAAAAAGGTACAAAAGCTGTCACTGTGGCAGTACCTTTGTACCTTATTTTTACACCTAAAGAGTGCATATTAGTATGAGTTCATATTAGTACCTAAACGGTACATTTTAGTACATTTGCAAACATACTGCCCTAGCTGACAGCTTTTGTGCCCTTTTTTCTGAGAGTGTAGCTACACACTGCAAAAACTGATACTGTATGTCAGAATAGATCTGTGTAGTAAGTCTTGGTGTGTCAACTAAAAAAAAAAAACCCAAAAAACCTGCCTCTTGGAATGTTTCTTTTTGAAATCTTTGTGCAATTTTCATGTAAAAAAAAAAAAAAAAAAGATATCTGTTTTGTTTTAATTTAGTATAAAGCAGTGACAGGTACTTGTACTGTGTGTACTTTGTAACAGTGGCTATTCTATTTAAATTATGTCTTTTTTTTTACGGGGGAGTTTAACATTAAACTGTTATTGTCTTTTTGTGTGTTCTGTGTTTTTTCTATTTTGTATCGAAAACAATTGTGAGTCAAGTCCGTGCACTGAGGAGCAGTATATATGTGTCTATGTGTGTTGTTTTAAATCAGTCACTTATTTGGGTTATGTTTGAGTTAAGGATGCTTATGCAGACTGTAATTCATAAAACAGATGTGTCTCTCAGAATCGCATGATGCTTCTTCCTAGTATTGACAGGAATATTCAACTTCGTCTGTTTCTTAAATCACAGAGCTACGGTACAATATGGCTGTAAAATCTCTCCTCTTCTGAGTGTTTAGTGCTGTGTTTACAGGCCTCAGTTATTTACTGAAGTCACAACCACACTACAGTTCACCAACAACAAATCAGGTAGTGACCACCACAAATCTGCATAGTTTTACAGTTAAACTCGCTGCTAGCAATTTTCATGTAAAAAAAAAAAAAAAAAAGATATCTGTTTTGTTTTAATTTAGTATAAAGCAGTGACAGGTACTTGTACTGTGTGTACTTTGTAACAGTGGCTATTCTATTTAAATTATGTCTTTTTTTTTACGGGGGAGTTTAACATTAAACTGTTATTGTCTTTTTGTGTGTTCTGTGTTTTTTCTATTTTGTATCGAAAACAATTGTGAGTCAAGTCCGTGCACTGAGGAGCAGTATATATGTGTCTATGTGTGTTGTTTTAAATCAGTCACTTATTTGGGTTATGTTTGAGTTAAGGATGCTTATGCAGACTGTAATTCATAAAACAGATGTGTCTCTCAGAATCGCATGATGCTTCTTCCTAGTATTGACAGGAATATTCAACTTCGTCTGTTTCTTAAATCACAGAGCTACGGTACAATATGGCTGTAAAAATCTCTCCTCTTCTGAGTGTTTAGTGCTGTGTTTACAGGCCTCAGTTATTTACTGAAGTCACAACCACACTACAGTTCACCAACAACAAATCAGGTAGTGACCACCACAAATCTGCATAGTTTTACAGTTAAACTCGCTGTTAATGCAGTGACAGATGTCATGATTTAATACATTGCTATAGATCACAGTATCCATAATTGGATTCTGTAATATCCGGTTATATCATTGTCCGCCATCACAGGTTCAGGAGAGCCACAGGATGATCATTTAGAGGATTTACTTTGAGTGGATTTACTCCAGGTTGTCACTCCCCAAACCTGTCAGTGTGTTTGCGGCCTGTTTCTTCTTCCATTACGGCTTTAATCTGTTCAGTAGCGCCATCTCTGTGTGGTGTGTGTCCTCCCATTCACTCTCTCTGTGTGTGTGTGTGTGTCTGAATTCGCAGAACTGTACGGTTTCGACGTTCTCATTGATTCCAACCTCAAACCGTGGCTCTTGGAAGTGAACCTCTCTCCCTCACTGGCACGGTGAGCGACGCACACACACTAATCCATCGGTTTTTCCATTTTGTGTGTGTGTATGGTGATGTGTACAATAACAACTTCTTACCAGTGGCCTGTTGCATGAAGCTAGCTGAGCAAACTCTGAGTTGACAAAACCAAACAAATCCAACTTGGTTTAGATCAAGTTCAGCGGGCTCAGAAAGCTCGATAGAATCACTCTCTGTCAACTCAACACATGCCGCAAACAGCCAATCTCATGAAACATGGAGAGTTTGATTCACTTCTCTGCTGAAGATTAAAAGATGTCGTTATTAAAAATATAATGAATGCATTTACAAGGCAGGAATAAACACTGTTGTTGCAGCAAAAGTTTGAGAAGGCAGAAGAAAGAAAAAAATTAATAATTTTAAATAGTTTTTTAATAGTTTATTAATATTTTTTATAGTTTTACAAAGAGCTCAAAAGAAAACATAAGTTTAGTCATTTTAAAAGCTTTATATATTATTTATATGTATATATATTTAAATTAATTTAAATGCAAAGTTAGTTGCCAGTTCATATAATAATTATTTAAAGATATTATATGAATTATAAATAATTATAATTCATACAATATGAATATAATAAATAATTAGCAGCTAAAGACGGGCAGTTTTGTCTCTAAAATTCTACTACTGTAAACGGCTTTAATGTAAAGCAAGAGATACAGGGGGAGTGGCTTTATTGCATCAGATAAATGTCACTGCTATTTGAGATCACTGCATTGTGCGCTTTAAATTCCCACCACAGACTGCCATCCAGACAAGGAATGTTAGGCAAACACAGTGTAGAAATGCAATCAAATATGCTTTTTTAGCACTGATGTGGAGTTTTAAATCAGGCCTGAAAATAGCTAGAGGAATAAGTATGAACTGTAAATATGGTCCTAGTCACGATCTCATATTTAGTTTTGACAGGAATGAAAGCGAGGCTGCGAGGGTTCAATGGATTGCAACATCTTTGCAAAAAACTTTTAGTAGACAAAAACTCCATCAAACTTGTGAGTTTTGAAAGTTACATGCAGTCCAGGACTTTTATACAGTGCATGCCATCATAAAGACTACAAGTTTATCCCTCAAAGCCTCTTAAAATTCAGTATGGTGTATCGAACATCTCTAGCAATCCTTATGAACCTTAAAGAGCTCAAGCGTCTGGTCTACACCACGGCATCTGTCATAAGTGGTGGGATCAGATCAAAACCCCCAAGAAAAGCCTGTTTCAAAGCGTATCAGCAGATGAGTGGAAGGATTTCCCGTTTCAGGTGATTTGGAAGATCTACCCAACTGGTTGTCAGGTCTAGACTGGTCCAAACTACTGGATCAGAAGCTTTGATGCACTGCATCAGCTCTAAGTGAGGCATCCAATGATTTGAGTATGTAACCAGAATGGTTCATGCAGGAATGATATTGAACATAGCGTAGCTGTTTACTTGGCTGTTTGATCAAATAGTGCACTTCCGCTTAGCCAGCTATGGAGAAACTGGTAGCCAGGCAACAGAGTGGCGACGTCACGCACACGCACTCGACCAGCACGGCTCAGCATGGTTGTCTAACCGTGCCGAGAACGGTTTGTGATCGTGCCGCGCCGTACCAGGCTCACGTGGAAATACAACTGGAACCGTACCTGACAGTTCTTTGAACCATTCGGGCCGATAGTGGAAAAGTGGCTAATATGGTATACATCAACTAAAAGCATTTGACAGCATTTCCCTCAGACTGTGAACATACCGAACAGACCCGTTCACCATCAGCTTCTTGGAAGGTGAAGCGTTGGAAAACCAACCTGCGGTTCCATGCCAATGGTTGCATAAAGGCTGGTAAAAGCCATTAAGTGAAGAGTTTTCCAAGGCAACTCTCTCTCACCACTGACAAACTACTAATGAACACCCTAAATAGTGGGAACGTGTGTTATAAGATGAAGAACAGCATCCATCTCATCAGGTTGCTCAGCAATGCTCCAAAAGTGATGAACTGAAGATCTTAATAGTCAATGACTTCCATCATTTGAAAGCTAACTGATAGATGTCAAAGGCCAAATACTCTCCCAGATCAGAGATGAAATGCAGAAATAAAAAAGCTTCTTATAAAGAGTGCCATTTTCTCCCCAAATATTTCTCATTACAAAACAACAAACGATATTCAGAAAAAATGGACAATTTACACTCACTTGTTTCTGTGTTAAACAAATCCTTATGAGTAATTTGTCCAGTTAGAGGGAAGTTCTTCATGGATACTTGAGTCAAACTCAGGCCTGCCATTAAGTGTGCTTGTCAACATGCTCATAAATGTTTGTGTGGTGCTTTGTGTCTAATTTCTTGTTTTATTTTAAGTATTAATTACTTACATTGCTTGTGATATATTTGATATATCTATAACAAGACAATTGTTTTGGACCCCACTGATTTTCATTGTGTGGACAAAACATTTTTCAAAATATCAGAATTTTAATTTGGGTGAACTAGCCTTTTAAAAAAGATACACTTTTGTAGACAGTAACAGTATTCACTGTAAAGGGTTAAGTCATATTGTATTTCCTCTGAAAACTTCAGTCTGCTCTGAGATTTGACTTCTGATATGAGTTCAAAGACTGGAAATGTAGTGCACAAGTCAGCTGGGCTGTTGTTATGGTGGTTTTTACAGCTTGACAGTATAAATCACCATTCACTTTCATTGTATGGAAATGAGCAGCTTGTGCTGTATTGTGTGAAAGCTTATACATTTAAAAGTTTATTGGCCCACAGAGTTAAAATAACAGTGCACTTATGCTTTTTTCTCTTTTATATTTCTAGCGATGCTCCTCTGGATTTAAAGATAAAGGCCAGCATGATCTCCGATATTGTGGGTAAGTTTCAGAGTCTCAGTTGTAACCCTAACCAGTCCTTTACCACTTCATGTTGTGAATGTGTATGTTCGGACATATTTTCAAACCACAGAACAGCCATAACTGCAGGTTACTGTGGCCGTCCGTGGCTTTTGTCATGTGAGTCACACTTGTTTGGTCTGCAGTAATGACCGGTTGAGAAGAAGGAGTGTTGTGCTTTCCTCCCATACATGAGGGTTTGAGGACAATGCAGACAAAATTTGGCAAAATTTGGATGAATAAATAACAAAGTAGGACTGTAATGTAATCAAATGGAGATATGGACTAGCGTCTATGAATAGGCTCACTACATGAACACATCAACTCTGAGAGTCACTTCAGCAGCATTTCACCGTTTCTTTTTAGAAAACTAGCCAAAAATACACACGGAAACTCAAAGGTCTTCATGACTAACCACCAAAATAAAAGCTTGGTTAATACATAAAACTCAATAAGGTGTATGGGGCAGACATCTCAAGCGTTATGAAATTATGAATAAAACTTGAAGGTATTATGACAGAAATATATTATTTGTACAGTAGAATGTACTGTATTTCTCAAAGTAATAATGACAATTTTTTAATTGTGTGATTTATTTTTTATTTTTTTTAAGAAATATCACAATTTTAAACCATAAAGCTCTTTTGTGCAGCACTTTGGCAAAAATGAAAGGTATTGTTCACATTTAATTTGATTAAATTTTAAAAGATTGAAGTGTTAAAAGCTTTATGCATTCATGGTTACCACCGTTTTTGATAAACACAGAATCTACAAAGATGAAAACAGAAAACTGAATTTGGAAAAAAATAAAGTGAGTATGTCATAGGGTTCATAGTTCACGCTGGGCGTCTCACTAAATCCATATTGCTCACAAACCACTAATAGGGCATTGTTGCCTGCTGGTGGTTTTGTGTCACATTCTTCCAACCCTGCAAACTGTGTGATGATCAAAGGTGATGCATCAGAAGCACGGTGTTAAAGCGTTCCCCGCAGGCACTGCTCATTACCATGAGATGACTTACATGAAGGAGCTGTCAGCAGAACATTAGATACTTGCATGAGTCAATGAACTGTCACACTTTGGCTGAAGAAAATACCTCTGCAGCGCTAATGAAAATAATGATTGCTCAAGGCAGAGTTTTGTTGTGCTTACGCAATAGTCTGTCCCCACTCCAAAAGCTCGCAAAGCTCACTGTAATGATTGATCTCTGTACAATGACGGCTGTTGATCGCATGCAGTGTTTCGTCTTGTTCGTTTTTATGGCAGCGTCTGTGTAATGCACATTTCCGATCATTACTTGACATAATTTTTGATTGTCTTGCCACAGTAGAACTGATCAACTCAAGAAGACTGTTCATTCATTCTTTGTAAGAGTTAAGGATTTTGATTCTGATCACAGGTTCTTTTGTTGTTCGTTTGTCTGTGCTTTACTTTGGTGTGGTGATTTTGTTCATTTAAAATTGTGTTGTTTTTGTGCATGGTGCTTTTTATGGCTCTAATATGACGTTAAGTAATACATAAAGTAATAAAAAACAGCAAAATAATTTAGGCGGTATTTATGCAAGGCAGTGTGATGTGTGACGCTTATGACCACATACTCTACTGTTCAAACAAGGTTGCATTTTTTGTTCAACAATACAGTAAAAACAGCAATATTGTGAAATATTATTACAACTTAAAATAACTGTTTTCTATGTGAATATGTGTTAAAATATAATTTATTCCTGTGATGCAGCGTTTAATTTTCAGCATCATTACTCCAGTCTTCAGTGCCACATGATCTTCAGAAATCATTCTAATATGCTGATTTTCTGCTCGGGAAACATTTATTATCAGAGTTGAAAACCTTTATTCTGAATTCTTAGATAAAAGGGAAGTTTAAAGAGCAGCATTTATTTTAAATAGAAATCTTTTGTAACATTATAAATGTTTTTAATGCCTTTTTTTGTTCAATTTAATGCGTCCTTGCTGAAGAGACGTATTTAGAAAAATCGAACAAAATTTTGAACAGTAATGTATCACATCCATCACTGCAGAATTTCTAACATCAAACAGAACATTTGATTTGATTCAATATCAACTTTTCCTGACTGTCTGATTAGTGTTTGGTCTGCTGTTATTCATACACACTTCATTCCACATTTGAATGGATAGAAATAAGCAAATTATGAATACCTTGTATTAACTGTGATCAAAGAACACACTTGTCTGAACAGCAGCTGTGTCTTGTGCTTAGGTTTTGTGTGTCAGGATCCGTTATTACGACAGCCGTGTCCCGACAGAGCTGGGATTGATTCAAGAATGAGGAATCCTACCCAGAAGCCTCAGGTAATAAAAAAATACCCACAATTATTGACCTTATTTACATTGTTTTCCTTGTGTAGATACCCAGAATAAACAACTGAGTTGTCAGTACAATCATGATGATCATTAGAAAACCTTATAGTGTTTTTTAATAAGAATAATGAGAAGAAAACCCTTCATGTTTCAGATATTTTGAACCTTCAGCTTTTTGATAAAATCTTTTACCAAATTACTTACTTTAGTTAAAGGGATCATATGATGTTGCTAAAAAGAACATTATTTTGTGTATTTGGTGTAATGAAATGTGTTTATGCGGTTTAAGGTTAAAAAAACACGTTATTTTCCACATACTGTACACTATTGTTCCTCCTCTATGCCCCGCCTTTCTGAAACGCATCGATTTTTACAAAGCTCATCGGTCTGAAAAGCGAGGTGTGCTGTGATTGGCCAGCTATCCAGTGCGTTGTGATTGGACGAATACCTCAAGCGTGTGACTGAAATGTTACGCCCCTCACCATACTGTGATGCCCTGTCCAGCCGGAGCGACGAGACAAAAACATGAAAACTCATTATAAACGAGGCATTTGTTGCATCCAGTGGGGATATAATTACTGATTATAATGACTTATACTGTCTTTTTACGCGTTGTGTTGCATCACGCTGCATAAACATAAAACCATGTCTGCATTTGTGATCAGAGAAATGACAAACAACAAGCGCTACCCTACACTGCCCAAAAAACTTGTTTTAAATATCATTTAAATATTCGTTCACAACGAAACACAGCGTCACACACGGCGGGTTAGAGTGAGCAGAGGTGGCGGGCTTGAGAACAGCGTGGCTGGCGGATTCGACGAAGGAGGCTTGCGGCAACCACATGTGACGACCCCGGGCTGGACTCTGCTTCGTCCACGGTGAAAGCCGATCCGGCAATCCACAGCGCAAAGTTGATGTATTTCCTCAGCAACCAGCATGGATCAGCTCCAGGCATGACGAAGCAGATATCATCCTCTTTTGGAAGACCAAACAGAGTAGTTTCACTTTCACAATGAAACACACAGCGTCTTCACAACATGGCGGCAGCAACAATACTACAGCGAGAATAAAAGTTATGCCTTCTTTCTTTGCGTGCACATTTGGGTGGCGTTATGCAAATCTTCCCACATAGTGATGTAGACATGTGGGGGCGTGTTAGAACGAGCCGTTTTAGGTAGGCGTGGTTAACTCTTAACTTTTATAAAGAATATCTCTTTGGATTTGAGACTTTAGTCTTTGCAACTTTACAGATCTTCTTTATGCACCAAGAGCTTGTAACACTCCAAAGAGAAAGAAAAAATTGAAATCGCATCATATGACCCCTTTAAGTGATTTGTTACAAGATTTTATCAGAAAGCTAAACCTTTTACAGAATTACTTGGACAAACATTTTAATTCGTTCTTTTCTTTATCTGTATCTTACTAAAATGGGAAGGAGTGTATATTACTATTGCATTTCCCATTAATTTCTGCTTTGTTTCCCAGCCAGTGTGTTTTGTGACACTTAGCTTTACGTAAATTAAGCTTTGACTCATCGGTCAATAACCAGTGTATTCGAAAGACTTTACTTAAAGGGTTAGTTCACCCAAAAATTAAAATTAGCCCATAAATTACTCACCCTCAACTCATCCTAGGTGTATATGACTTTCTTCTTTCAGACGAATTGTAGCGTCTGGACCACTCCAACACACAATATATATTTTGTTAGCTAGATTTCACAAATACTTTGTAACACCCCAGGACGCCGAACAAGACCCTGGTTTCATGGTAACCCGATACATTTACAACCTTGTGGAATGCGAGCCGGCTCTCAGCTGCTTTCTCCAGAGCTAAGGGGTACAAATGCACAGGAGAAATGGACTGTTCTACTAATTAATTCATAGGAAAACCTTTCTTTGATTGAATCCACATATCCTTCAGGCCATTGTGTATATTATTGCTGTTTTGTATTAATCTGTTGTATTATAGACTATTTTTATTCATGCTTACGATAAACCACTCATTCATAGAAGTAACTCTACCATGTCTAGTATCTATGAATTCGTCTTCGGATGATCTAACTGAGAGTGCATATTACATGCTGATACCTCTGCAACATATTGATGTTCTAAGAATCATTACTAATTTCTGCATCAACACCCAAGTGAATTACATATGCAAAATACCATGCTTAGAGACAAAGGGCCATAAAAACGCAGAACTCCCACTTGAGATCCCGGCCT